AAAAGTACCCTTGATAACACTCGATTTACTCTCATGGTTTTGACAAAGTTTGTATTTTAATAATTATTGCTTATGTTCTAAAATTACTAAAATGCAAATTTCGTCAAAACCATGAGAGTAATCGAGTCTTATCAAGAGTACCTTTTTTAAAGTAAATGAGTTGCGCAATCTAAATTTTATACTCAAACTCCTTTTCTTCCATTGGCGTAGAATTTTTAAAGGTGCAATTATTTAAAAAATCAAGTTCTACGCCTATGTATTATTATCGGACAAAATTTTAATACCATTTTTTTACCACATAAAACTCTACCAATGTACCAAATTTCAGTAAAATCGCATATGCCGTTTTAAATTTATATGGGAAAAACGATTTAAAAATTGTAACTTCAAGGCCCTCTGGAGCCCAAACGAAGCAACTTTGTACTAAGGTAATTTTACTTAAATCGACTTATTTTGGTCTAAGGAATATGTGGTATGTTTTTGTAAAGACCTTTTACAGACACCCTGTATATGTAAATTTTTCTGGATAAAGCTGTTCACGAATTTGCAGTTCGATCTGATTTAGTGCTTCGTCTTCCCCCTATTGCTGTTAAAGGGGGTTCTTGTGACTGGCTAGAACTTCTTATGACGAGCTAGTATTTTTGTGACGGGCTAGCACTTCTTGTGACTGGCTAGTATGCTTTTGACAGACTAGCACTTCTTATGACGGGCTAGCAACCTTCTTCACTGTAGTTAGTTGGCATCCAACACTTGGATTAATATAAATCCCACCTCAAATGCTTAGGCACAGAAAGTAGGTAGCTACTGCGCATTTTTTTCTCTTCAGCATTAATCTATGTTACGTCTCCTACACAGTACCATTTTCCCGTTTAAATCGAACCAATAACAGCATATATACAGATTTGTTACTTCGCGTGATTTTTCTCTTCAACGTTAATCTATGTTGCATCTTCTATACAGTACTGTTTTTTTTTTTGTTTGAATTGGACCAATAATAGCGAAAATATACACTTCGGCCCTTTTGACATTGCTACTGCGCATGCTTTTTCTTTTCAAAGTTAGTCTATGTCACGTCTTCTACACAGTACCGTTTTTTTCGTTACGGGATAATTTTATTACGGGTCAAAAATTCTAGCTAGATTAGTATTAGTCGAAAAAACAAATATAATAAAAAAAAATCAGCAATATTTGACACATCCGTTGATTCATCTCAGGCCAGACAAAATCACTCAAGATGTCCATTTCTGTCAGACAGTTGAGATGATATACTTTCTGCGATGTCTTGTACCCTCCAAACAACGGTGTTTGCTGACAAACTGACAGTTTTAAATAAATTTACCTTTTCGGGGCACATTTCTTCGGCTACTGCAATTATGCATTCTTGAATCGTTTCTCCATCGGTGAATAGTTTTCCACGTTTTGTCTTTTCAAGAGCCACAAGAAAGCTGGCGCGAGTTGCAGCTTTTTGTTCAATATTGACTTCCTGTTGTATATTTTGAATAATTTTGAAAATGTTTCGTTTTATAATGACGTTTAATGTTATATTATTTGAGAACGGCTATGGTTTCATTGCAAATCTAACATAGCCTCTTATTACTGGACTCCAATCACGAAATATTGAAAGTTCCATTGATCTTTGAATGTTCTGCATTCACTGTCTATATTTTGTTTCTTTCTCATACTAGTAAATCACACACAAAAACAACAAGTCAAATCAAAATTCTGTTACGTGTCCAATCAAATAGACCTTAAAATTTTGGAGGAAATACAGAAATTTTTGATATAAGTCACTTTAGAGTATTTGAAAACGATAGGTAAAAAAATTTTGTTTTTCAGGCACCGGCAAATGTCAAAAAACAAGAAAATAAAGTGTTTTTTGAGGTTATTTAAAAACAGTAGGTGCTATAAAAAAAAGTTTTGAATAAAAATTGTAAAGCTTAAAGTTTTATATAAAAATGATTTTTTTGATATTATTAAAACTGAGAGAGTTAGGGTGGTTAGAAATTAGGAAGAGATATATATGACTTGGAAAAATCATAGCGAGCTGAAAATTCAATGATTTTGTAGTTTCTTTTTATTATTTTCTCGGAAAATTGTAAATTTCTTCTAGGAAAAATTTTTTTGAGTTATAACAATTTTTATTTAGAAATGTTCAATATATTATACGAATTTATATGGTAAAATAAATTTTGAAGTAAACTTATTATCTTGACTGACATGAACAATATCAGGAGTGAACTTATAAAAACGATATCCCGACAGTTTGGTCCCCACTTAAAGTTCCATTAAATAAATAAAAATAAAAACAAACAAAAAAGAACTAAATAAAAATATTAAAAAAATAAAAATAAATATAAAAAATTAATAAATAAAAATAGGTAAATTAAAAATAAATATAAAAATAAATAAACAAATAAATATAAATAAAAATAATTAAAACTAAAAAAATCAAAAATAAATAAATAATTAAAAAATAAACAAAAAATTTAAATAAATAAAAATAATAACAAATAGTTAAAAAAATTAAATAAAATTAGGTAAATTATTAAAAATAAAACTATGACACTTAGTATCAAATAAGTTGTGGGTGCGGGTTTAAACAAAGTTCCTTTAGCATTAATAATTTTGAGAAAATAAACAACTCCAAATCAATCCCACATATAAATATATTAATTAATCAAGGCGACCGGTTTCGGCTACAAAGCCATTTTCAAGCCTATAACAAGTTGAGTCATATTTTAACAAAGTTGGTAAAATTGCTAGACATTATACATACCTAAGATCTTAGCTGGTTTCTAAAGGTATTTTCTCATTGAAGATGGCCACATTTGAGAGGTTGGATTCCCTTCATAACTTATTAATAATTTTAATCACTTAACAAAACATAAAACTGAAACGAATAAACAAATGAATACCGGGTTTAAACAATTATGAAAACACAAGTCTCGACCTGAAGGGAATGAACTCTTAAAAGCTTAAAACAATACTGTCTAATATTATGCAATGTCTTTCGGCACTACATGGATGGCGGCGTTGCCGGCTCTCACTTATAGCCGATCATCTTGTTACAAAACATAATAAAAAATAAATAAAATTAAACAAAAATAAATGAAAAGATAAGTGTAAAAGAAAATAAATAAAAATAAATAATTAAAAAAAATAAAAATAAAAAAACAAAAAAAAATAAATAAAAATAAATATAAATACAAATAGTTAAAAAAATTAAATAAAAATAGATAATTCATTAAAAATAAAAATAAAAAAATATTAATTTTTATTTATTTATAAAAAATAAATAGTAAAATTAAAAAAAATTAAAAAAATAAACAAAAATTTAAATCAAAAAAACAATAAATAGTTAAAAAAATTAAAAATAACAAATAATAAATAAAAATAATTACAAATAGTTAAAAAAATAAATAAAAATAGGTAATTTATTAAAAATAGAAATTAAACAAAAATAAATAAAAATAAAAAATATTCATTTTTATTTACTTATAAAAATAAATTAAAAAAATAAAAACTAAATAAAAAATAAATAAATAATAAAAAATAAAAATGAATATTTTTTATTTTTATTCATTTTTTTAATTTATTTTTATTTACTTTCTTTACATTTATTTTTTATTTATTTTTGTTTAATTTCTATTTTTAATAAATTATTCATTTTTATTTAATTTTTTTTAACCATTTTTAATTGTTTTTATTTATTTTCTTTTACACTTACCTTTTCATTTATTTTTGTTCAATTTTATTTATTATTTATTTATTTTTTTCTTTATTTATATTTATTTTATTATTTTTATTTATTTTTTTCTTTATTTATATTTATTTTATTATTTTTATTTATTTTCTTTTATCCTTACCTTTTCATTTATTTTTGTTTAATTTTATTTATATATTTATTATTATTTACTTATTTTTATATTTTTTTTAATTTACCTATTTTTATTTAGTAATTTTTTATATTTATTTTTATTTAGTTCTTTTTTTGTTTGTTTTTATTTTTATTTATTTAATGGAACTTTAAGTGGGGACCAAACTGTCGGGATATCGTTTTTATAAGTTCACTCCTCATATTTTTCATGTCAGTCAAGATAATAAGTTTACTTCAAAATTTATTTTACCATATAAATTCGTATAATATATTGAAAATTTCTAAATAAAAATTGTTATAACTCAAAAAAAAAAAAATTTTCCTAGAATAAATTTACAATTTTCTGAGAAAATAATAAAAAGAAACTACAAAATCATTGAATTTTCAGCTCGCTATGATTTTTCCAAGTCATATATATCTATATCCTAATTTCTAACCACCCTAACTCTCTCAGTTTTAATAATATCAAAAAATATCATTTTTATATAAAACTTTATGCTTTACAATTTTTATTCAAAACTTTTTTTATAGCACCTACCGTTTTTAAATAACCTCAAAAAACACTTTAGTTTCTTGTTTTTTGACATTTGCCGGTGCCTGAAAGACAAAATTTTTTTACATATCGTTTTCAAATACTCTAAAGTGACTTATATCAAAAATTCCTGCATTTCCTCCAAAATTTTGATTTAAAGGCCTATTTAATTGGACTACGTAAGGGTGTTGCTCGATTCGATGTCTTTTAAACAGACTGACTCAAGGTCGCACTGCTAGCCTTTTTATACTCCAATTACTACCATCTCGAAGTGAGTGGAATATATCAGAACTTTCTCGAACCACTGAGATTATTTACAAATGTTTATTTGTTACTGGAATAATCAGTATGGCTTTAAGGCTGGAAAGTTTGGAGACCAATGTTGTTTAATATGTGATGTTTAAGCTTTATGGACTGTATTTTCGTGTCGTGGATTCAAAATCTCCAAAATTTATTCATTAAAATCTATACGACAATTCATATTCTTGTGACATACAAATCAATAACTACAATAATGAAGTGGCGTGCAATATAACTTATTCCGGTATACATTATCCTATTTAATAAAATATCTGTACATATTGTTTTCAGTTAAAATGTTGCGGTGTCTTTGGACCATACGATTACGAAGACAGAAGCGAAAAGGTTCCCGTTAGCTGCTGTCAAAACATTAATGTCCAGTGCCCAAGTACGAATAACGAAGTCCATACCGAAGGATGTGCACCTAAACTTCAACAAGAACTGGAAAAAAGTTCTAAGGTCATTGGAGGCGTAGCTATTGGAATTGCCGTGATTGAGGTAAGTGTAGACGCAAAAAAATTATTAGATTTATCATCTAAAAATATTGAAACAAGGAAAAGCGACAACCATTGTTAATATTGTTTATTTTAAAATACATATTTTGCTGTTTAGTTAAAAATGGAGTATTTATATATGTAATAAAGGTGTTATCACTGATAGCAAAGCAAAATATGTATGTGTAAATTTCCTATCTGACCCTTCATTCCAATAAATTCAAAGAAACGTCATATACATATTAAAAAGGTATTGGAAATTAATTTAAGATCGCCACTATTAGCGCCGCTCTTATTTTGATATCTGAGCATGCGTAGATAGTTTACGTTCTAGAACTGTCTTTATTAAAGATTGTGTCTCTTCCTACTTGTTGCTTTGGACCTAGACCGGAGCAGACGTGTTAACAAACTGTCTATCGGCATAGTAAGGTTAGATTTCGCAGTATAGTGAGAAGATCCCCAGCGTTCCGGTGTAACGTTAAAGTTTGGCGCGCAGACGCGTCAATACAGGTGAGGGGAATGAAACCTGCGCGAAGTCTTACGAACACAGTGATTTCGCCACACAGTGACGAAAACGCAACCGGACTAACCCGTCGTCAACGTATAACTCTACTAAGAGCTTCTGATCATTATCAATCCAATAAAACATACCGTGATCTGCAGAACTTTCCAAAAGTCCAAACTGTAATTAAACATCTTTGAATCTCTTGTTCCAGCATCTCGGAGACTGTTTTAAACCGTAAAGACTTCTGTTGAGCTTACATAATCTATTAGTGTTATTCTCAAAGCCTTTGGATTGGTTCATGAATATTTCTTCATCGATGAAGCCAGTTCAAGAGATTCGTTGGCTGCTATACTTAAAATAATTCGGATGGTATTAAATCGTACTAGTGTGCTAAAAGTTTCATTGTAATCGATACGTTCCCGCTGACTAAAACCTCAAACTACAAGACTTGCCTTGAAACAATTTATCTGGCAATCACATTTACGTTTTACCTTATAGACCCAGTGATTTGAAATAGGTCGACGACCTTCTGGTAATTCAACTAAACTCCAAGTTAAGTTTTCTCTTAAAGAAGTAATTTCATCTTCCATTGCCTGTTGTCATTTGGATGATTCAGGAAAATTTGTGGCGTCCTTAAAATTGGTTGGTTCATCTAAATCTAGAATGTTCAGGCACTAAAATCATTTTGTTATAATTTCTAAGATTATATCTCCTTGGTAGATTTTCAGTTTGTTCTTCTTTTTCCATGTTCTCGCGTTCTGAATTTTTACTTTGTGGCTCTTGGAAAGCTTCTACAGATTTCTGACTTTATATCTCGACACTTTTAACGGGAAATATAGCCAATGTTTTACAGATGCTTTCTGGTACAAACACAGCACTTTTGCTTCGTTTGACTTGGTTATTAACTTTCATCCAGATACGAAATCCTTTGACATGATCAGAATAACCAACAGAAATACCACACATCCCTTTAGGGTCTCATTTATGTCGCTTTACTTTGGGTAGATTAGATTAGGAGTTGGACGTTATTCGTCCTTGTTCACCGCGACCTTTTCAGATCTATTGTGGGACTCCGTTTGTTTTAGAGTATGTCGTCTAGCTTGGTATTTTTTATTAAACTTAGTAGCTTTGACAGTGGCTCCCGCATGTAGTTGCATGCAATTGGCTTTTCTTCGCCCAATGTTAGAAACCTCATTCCAGCCAAGCCTTCACATTGGCACAGGACGTGGAATGATGTTTCCTCTGCACAAAGTTGCTTCTTCTGCTGGATTTATGAAACTCATGTGCCTTTTGAGGCGACAGTGTCCAGTAAGAAGGCCTACTGTTATCCTAACGATTTGACGCTTTTGATCCAGTAGGTCTTTCGTAAACTTGGCCGATGGTTCCTTGATGGCCTGTCTCAGTCTTGGATAGTTGTTCCACCATTCCTGAGACTCTTTTTGCATCCATTGTTTAATGGATGCATTGCACAGTGCCTTAGCAACTCCACAGAAGGGTTCGGGGCCTGTCATGGCCTTATCTGAGCCTTCTCGGGCTAATTAGTTGGCCTTTTCGTTGCCCTGATATCCCTCACGGCCTGGAACCCAGGCTAAGGTCACCTTATTTTGACTACTTAGCTCTGTCAGGTCTTCTAGACAGTCTTTCACCAGTCGTGATTTGATATCTGGTGAGAGAATTGCCTTTAGAGCTGCTTGGCTATCAGAGTATATGAACATAAGATTCTGTATCAAAAATGTGAAGTTCCAAATGGAGACTTTTTCCTGTGAACAGCTGCCATGGTGTTTTTTCGTCTATACTGCTTGGCCCAGTTTGGTTAAGCTCACAATAATTTTGGTAGAGTCTTTGATAAAAGCATTGTTCTCGCCAAATCTAGAACGGTTCTAATAGTTCGCTCTGCGCAACAGTTCTGTTCAGGTGTATATGGATTTACAATGTTAAGTATTACGCCATTTGACTGAAGTAATTCTTATACTTTTGCATTAGCGAATTCAGTACCAACATCACACTGAAACATTTTCATAGGCCTTTTGCATTCAGTTTTCACAAACTTAATGAAATCAGATATGTATATTATAGCCTGAGATTTTCCTTTAAGAAAATAAACTTGTCGATAGTAAAGCACAAAAAATATTTTGACCCTTCCAATGAGGAAGATTCAATTGGGCCACATAAATCTGCATGGATAACTTCACCAGGCTTAATCGCTCGTTGTTGGTGTTCTTTGAATCTACTTCTATGTTGTTTACCTTCTATGCACGTCCCACAAAACTGCCCGTCTTCTATATAACTGACTTCGTGAGATTTTAGTACTTTGGCAACGTGGCGTTTACTTTGGTGTTCGAATCGTTCGTGCCATACTTGCAACGTATCTTTTGAAGTAAAATTTGCTTCATTGACTGGAGAAGTGACAGGAATCCTTACCCGTATGGGCCGTATGGACATTCTGAACATCTTTCCGAATTTGATTCTTTCAGCTTTAGCCACATCTTCTTTGACAAATTTACAGACATTGCTTGACATTGTAAAAGATGGGACAAAGAGGACATTATCTATATGACCTGATAACCACTTTCGGTTGACCTTAGCTTCAAAAGGAATAGTTTCTTTTCCAATATATGTATTTTCAGAGCAGTACTGAATAGTTCAAAAGTAGAGAACTATTCAGCGTGATGCGCTATGTGGTCGGTAGCACCAGAGTCAACAATCCAAAAGTCACTGTCGATTTCAGCATTTTCAATTTAGGAAACAAAAACTTTATCTTTTTTAATTGTAGAGAAATACTTTTTCTTTTCTGGACAATATTTTCGAAAATGCCCTCTTTTACCACAATAACTTTCTGGATTTTGTAGATGTTTGACTCTTAGTAACAAAAGATTGGTTCTTTGATTTATTGATAACGAGTGCAACAAGTTATTTTTGTTTTCTAACTCGTTGGTTTTGGCGCGTTTCTTTTGCAGTTAAAACTCCAATTAAATTATCAAGCTTCTATTGATCTTCCGGTCTTGCCCACCAAGCCTGTTGAAGACTTTCGTACTGATCTGGTAAAGTATCAAGCAGTTTGACTATTAAGGATGCTTCATCAGGTTTTACATTTAATTGTTGCTTTCGTAAAACTAGCCCTTCAAACTTTGAGATGTGGTCATGCTAAAGCCGAAAAATTCTGCTTGAACAATATGCTTGTTTGGTTTTCTTTAAATACCCAAATTCTCAAAGAACCTCCCAGAACCCCCAAATCGTAAATGTAAATCTCCTGGGAGTCAGGCTCGTTCAACAGACTGAAGTTGACTATTTTGGGGCACGATTTTCTCGTACACTTAACTGGTCCTCAGATGTCCAACGCTCTCTTGATAAGTTGCAAAAACGAGCCAAACTCCTCGGGGCTTAGTGCGGACGAATTGGGCGTTGCAACACAAACACCCTTATTTACACTTACAATTCCTTTATCCGACCCGTTGCCGAATACTTTCCACACACTTGTTCTACAAATTCACCACACTCGAGAGACGTATGCTCAGACGTTGTCAATATCTCCCTTCTCGCTCCCCAGCGGATAAGTTTTCGAGGTCCAGGAGACACCATGGAGGACAAGTCCGCCTATAGTAACTATTTTTAATTTTAGTTGGTAATATTTCAGCCCTCACTCCTTACCGTTACGGTATTATTGAGAAATTTTGGTTCTTTTGGTATTAGTAATGGGAAATGGGTAAGGATGTGTCGTGATTTACTTCTGATTTTTGTCACCTGAAAAAGCTAGAAAAAACAGGGTTGTCCTTGTGTATACGTTCGTAAAGTCTTAGGTTATTCAAGGCTTTAAAGAGATCTCCAGGACAGAATTCTAGGGCCTTCGAGCGCTTACTTACTTACATATTTATTAATTCATTATTTACAAGTATTTCCATTTAACAATAGACAATATTAAATAATTACAGCATTACTTCTTGGACTTCAGGAAGTTCCATACTGTTGGTCCCTAGACAAGCAGAGCCACGGCCGGTGTCATAGCCTTAATATTGCCCGTCTTAATTTAAATTGAGTGTCCCGTGCTATATCTTTGCTTATTAAAGCATCATAAAGAAATTTTGGTGAGCTTGCTGGATCAGTAGTGGAGTCTGTTTATAGTTTCGTTTGAATTTACTTGTGATTGTCTTCCCTGTAAAACTAATTTCAAAAAACAGGGTTGTCCTTGCATGTCATGTGTGTCATATGTATTAGTTTGTCTCTGGTTTAGCCAGAACACGAGTCTACACAGTTATTCCCACGTCCAGAACTGCGAGCAAAGCAGGCCTCTATCACTTACTTTTAAAACATTTATTTTCATATTTACAAATATATACAGTTACAAACACAAGCTAAACATTTACAAAGATAAAATATAACAAAATATATTATTCATCCTTCTGAATCCTGCGTCCATATTGGCTGTTGTTCTGCCCAATTGCAGCTTACGTTGTTTCTTTGTTCTGAATGCTTTGCTTACTCCTTATGCAGGGTGATATTATTAAGCAATTCTGTGCTGATAAGCTATTCGCAGTGATGATATGTCTAGGTGTTTTGGAGTTTAATTTTGTTTGATTTTTCCCTGAAAAAGTTGTGAAAAAAACAGGGTTTTGAAGCGTGGATGTGTGTACGTTTTTGGTTAGTTGTATGCGATATCCACAAACTTACCAAATAGCAGGTCGTTCTTAGGTCCGGGGTTTCAGCTAATGGCCGATCTCTGCGGGTCTAAGCCCCGCCCACCATTCGATATAGTCAGATGCCGTTTGAATTGGGAATTCAGTCGGCTTTGGGTATTGCAAAGTGTAGTATGACAAGGTGGCTTATTGATATTAAAGCACGTAGGGTTATGGTGAAAAACCTTTTATTATCGGAACAAGAAACTGACATATATAACTAATAAACGAATGAACTGATATAATGTAACGAATGAGGTATTGTTTATTTGCGTATGAATAGAAGGATTGTCTTGTATGTACCCACTGAATGACCGGCTGTAATACATGTACGTTAAAAACACCTTTGTTTGTATGTATGTGTGTAAGAAATGCGAGTGTCCCAGTTGTCTAACGTCTTAGTCGAACGCGCTAGACAAACTGAAACAATACGCCGCGAACTTCACAGAACACTGTCCCAGTGTGGTACCGTCATAAGAGGGTAACCGTGTTACCACACAAAGTAATCATTCATGCTCTGATTGTCGTTATTTTGTGCTTTATTTTTGTAATGTGTCAACGATTATATATTGTTAAGTTTTCATGGAGCCAAACATGCTTCCTATTTTGACTATTTAATCTTGAGACGAGGAGGAAGACAATTTCGATAAAACTTCTCTGATATTTGCATTACAAATTGTTTAATAGGAAGTATGTTTGTTCTCTCATGCACTTCTGTAATTCTTGTGTTCCTTGCACATCCAAGGATTAGCCTCAGACACCTGTTTTGCGTGTATTGCAATTTTTGAAAGTGCGTGTCCGCCATGGAGCAGAACACTGGACATCCATATGTTAGTATCGGCCGGAGGATTTGTTTGTAGAGCAACTTTTTATTTTTCTGAGACACCTTGCTGTTGGGGTATAATGTCCGTATCATGTCAGTTGTTTTGGAGATGCGGTCATTTATGTGCTTTCTAAACGTTAGCCTCCTATCCAGATGAAAACCTAAGTACTTTATGCTGGTCTTAAGCTCTACTGTTTGACCTTGGACTTTTAGCTTGCCCTTGACTCCGTCTGACTCTTTGGGACAGGAGAGTGTTCTCTGTTTTTGTGGGATTGATTTTTATCTTATTTTCGTCTAGATAGGGGACTAACGTTCTGTTGATATGGATGTCCAATCTTCTTCAGGCGATTTCTGCAGAAATTGAGGTTTTATATACACAGGTATCGTCGGCGTACAACGCCGTCTGTATACCATTCTGTCCCATCGGCATGTCGTGTGTCATAATCGTGTACAGACCCTTGGGGTACTCCGGCAACAGCTGTAAATGGTCCTGTTCTAAAGTTTTGTATTTTTACGTAGAATTTCCTGTCATTCAATTATGAGTATTTTATAGTATATCTGCTGATGTTGAGGACTTATACACACAGGTGTCATCACAACGCTATTTGTACACCATTAATTTCCATGGGTCATAATTGTGTACAAATGCAGCGACAGTACTGGCCCCTGGGGTACTCCCACTATGGCATTGTGTGGTCCTGTGGATGAATTGGTAATTTTAATTTGAAAAGTTCTGTCATGTAGGTATGATTGAATAGTTTTTACAATGTACAAAGGATAATCATTTATAAACATTTTGTATATAAGCCCACAGGGCCAAACCCGAGAATACCGATCAAGGAGAAGCGACAGAAGCTGTCGGTGCCTTTGATATCGGATGTACCTTTTTCACAGCATGACTTTGATTGATACACAACTTAGCACGCTGAGAAAACATGCTTATTTTCTACACCGAGCGAAATAGTTTGGCAAATTATCTGAAATTATTGTTATAGTCCAAGCGCAAATGTTGCAATATGATTTAATTAAATTGAAGTAGTTAGGGTTAATAGCCATGGTGAAATTTCAACACCAAAATATAATTCATTATGTAATAATTAATTATTTGTTATAAAAGTAAAAGACGTTGGTTTATTTATTGTTAAAAATGTAATAAAAGCCCCATATTTAAATTACCTTTTCCTTAAGTAAAAATAAGGTAAATAAAAGTAAGGGTGCCAAAAAAAATTTAGGTAACAATTAAAAAGACATTAAGTTTGAGAAGTTCAACTAAATATTTGCAATGTGCATATATTTTCAAAGCTTTTAGGTTTAAAAAGTACTTACATATTTTTAGAATTTCTAGATTTATATTATATTAAAAGGACTTTCAAGTTTATCACTCATTTCTGTAGAAACAAGTGTTTTCTCGCCAAGTTAAACCAGATGTCATTTAAGGTTTATGTATTTAGAGTTAAATACCTGGCCTGGCTATCACCCAGACAATACAAATATGTCCATTGGACTCTATCCGATATACAATTTTGGATGTCTAGACGTCCAAAAATGAGTTTTCTGGACTTCCGACATCCAATGGACGTCCAGTGAAGTATACAAATGGCACACTTTTGACCATTCAGAGGACGGCCAATTCTGGAATATATTTGGAAGTCGAATACTGGACATTCAAAAAACGTACAGGATTATATTTCCATTGAGACCACATCCCCACTTTTTTTACAGAACCGCAACTCACCACACACTATTTTATATTATTAATAATTCAGAAATATTTCTGTATATTACGTTACTTAAATTTTATCGCCCTCTAGCGGGATAAAAAGCTACTACGTATTATAGAGTGTGACATTACAATGTGTAGTATATCTTTAAAAAGGTAATTTTATAGGGAATTTAGAAATATGACTGTTCATTGCGATACTTTTAATAGTAGTATCGCCCTCTATCAGGATAAAAAACTACGTATTATAAAGTGTGATACCTTATTTAAAAGCAAATTTAATTACTAATTCAATGCACCACATAACATTAATATAAATATCCTCCATATTTCACTTGCAATAGTTTGAAAATTATTCATGCATTATTTTAAACATTATTGCTAACTTAATTTTGTTTCAAGTGCAATATGGAAATATTTATATTAATGTTATGTAGTGCATTGAATTAGTAATTAAATTAGCTTTCAAATGAAGTGTCACACTTTATAATACATTACAGGTGTTTTATCCCGATAGAGGGCGCTAAAATTAAAACTATCGCAATAAACTGTCATATTTCTGATTTCTCCATAAAATTACCTTTTCAATGATGTGTCGTACATTATACATTCCTTATTTAAAATAAAGGGGTTGGAGAAGTAGAAGGGAGGGGGTTGACACATGACAGATGTCTGTATTGTAAAAATGTGTTCAATTGGAAATAAAAATCGACATGTTTTAGCATTTTCTAAAAATCCAATGATTAATGCCGAAAAACAGGATGAAACTATTTTAAGTGACCCACTCTGTATATCAAAAATGTCTAGATTTATCGAATTAGTTTATAGAACAAAATCTGCTTAAAATGCATTTTTTACAAGATGCGTTATATAAGAAAGATCTCCCCATCGAAAAACATATATTGAGCGCAGCGCCATCTACCTATTGACCTATTTAAAATTAATTTATATCTAAAACTAAAGCTCTCCTAGCGCTCTATGAACTGGCTTTTACAGAATTAAAATATTTCTATTACTTACCAAAATATCCGGCCTGGGAGTTTTTATTGGTACACCCTGTATACTTCTCATTTTTGCCCGGTTTTTTAATGGGTATTATGTTATGAGGTTTAAGATAAGCCAATCAAGCTATCAAGACACATACACTTTGATATCCGAATTCGCAAATTTGAAATTAATCAGATTCCAACTCTCATTGGCCTTTTCAGTTTTTCGTTGGTTCGTTTTCAATTTGGAGATATTTAATATTTTTGGGATTTGTTTCTTTTATTATAACACTAACTAGTCATTTTATCTTCTTTTTCAGATCGTTGGAGCCATCTTTGGATTATGTCTCGCCAGTTCGATCCGAAACAGCTATAGGAGACACATATACGCTTAATACTCCTCATTTTTTTGTATTTTTTATTTATTTGTTATACGTTTTCCTTCAGTTTAATATGTTTTTTGTTAATTAAAAGTTTTTACTCTTTTGTACCTAATAAATAAGTACTGGATCTAATAATAACTGAGATGTAATTTGTTAAATTTGAAGATCAACACATTATAGAGATATATATTTTGTATATTTAACATAGTAATAAATAAAACAATTAAAAAAAAAATGTTATTCATATTTTTGAAACAGAAAAAAATAGGTACATTTCGTGGTTAATATTATCTTACATAAATTATTCTTTTAGTGATTAAAATTGTTTAAATGTTAATATATTTCAGTATAGTTAATAATATTAAAATTTTAAAAGCGCAACTTTTGATATTTCATGTGTGCTTTTATAGGCCAGTCAGTAAAGACATCTTATTTTGAATATTTCACAATAATTAAAAAACTTTGCAATAATAAATAACACTACAGTTCATCAAATTTCTAGAGGCTTTCGACGGCTAGACAGAGAAAGCACTACTGACAGGCATCCCGACGGATTTACGCAATGAAAGTACACTCTGCGCATCAAGTATTTCACTATTTCATTCAGACGTAAATGTCAGATGTAAATTTCGCTAAAACATTTCTTTTATTTTCGTTTGTGTTTTTTGCTCATTACAGTTTAATAGAACCTAAGTATGGAGTTTAATAGCAAATTAAGAGGCCGCGTGATTAACAGTCAATCTCGCGAAATAATAGCCAATGTTATAGAGTTTATGAGAAGAGAAGGAAACTTTAATTCACCTTCAATACCATTTAAAAATGTAAATGATCGTGTTGCTGCAGCCACAGGAGTATCTAAAAACACTGTCGTCCGCATTTCTGGAGAGAAAAAAAGAATCGATAACCGTGAGATATCGGAATTTTCATCACCAAGAAAAACCATTAAAAAACCAAAAACAGTTAATGATATAGATGAAGCTGCACAAGAATCAAATTTTATTTTTTTATTATTAGATAGCTATTTTTGTTTCTGAGTTGTGTTCATTTACAGGCTCAATTTTTTTCCGTTTCTCCTTTTTGATTTTATATGGGGTTTCAAGTTGTTTTTGACTTATTTCGACGTAAATCACCAACACACTTTTTTAATAAAGCAAACAAGTGTTAAGAGGTATATGTACGTGTAAACTACAATTACAAAAAATTGATATGAAACCCATGAAACCACCAACAAAAATGTAAAGCCTAGCTTCCGTACTAGAACATGGTGTCATTCGTCGAGATAATTTATCGTTTTGTTTAATAGATCAAGAAATGTAAATATTCCCGTTATTTTTTATAAAATTATAAGAGAAATAAATTTTTTTCTAAATAGTATAGTTTATTATTTTGTAGAAAAACAAAATTTCGAAAATTTTAGTAATGTTTCAGAAACAACCGTTATTAATAATAGGTACCATTTTCCTTAATAAGTTAGAAATAAAATATAAACTATTTCCACGATTTGCAAAGGCCTACAACAAAATTATAGGTATTTTCCGCTATCCTATAAAATTTATATTTTCTGACTCAATTTCAAAAGGTTGAAGGAATTCCAAAACACCTTTTATGGCATAATAATTATTTTCAATTCTACATACTATCTTTAGCTGCTTTTAAAAACGTTCTAAGAAAGTCCAATCAGACCAATTTAATCCCTAAACTATTCCACACTTTTAAAATTTAATTACCTAAAAATATTAAAAACGATTTAATAGTATATTATTACACGAGCGCTTATGTAGGCCATTATTCACGAGGGTGAAGATTGAGCCCACGAGCCGAAGGCGAGTGGCTCAATCACCCGAGTGATTAATGGCCTACATAAGCGCGAGTATAATACTATACTTTTTCTACGCCTATGAAATAATTAAAATGCAGATTAAATTAAATTTACTCAAATAAACCATTTTACATTAATTCATATTAACTTTTAATAACATGGATAATAAAATGATTATTTATCAATTAACGGATTATGTTGGTGAATATTTATTGTGAAATTCTGGCAGTTCTGAATAGTAAGTGATGGGGTGGCCACATCCATTTTTTTGATTTTCATTGACCTTGGTTATACTCTCGGTGGTGGTAATAGTGGATTTGCTTTGTATTGAGTGAAGTATTTTTTGGGCAGTTGTCATTTTATTATTTAAGGAGTCGTTGATGTATCCCTCCGCCACCGTTGCGAACTTCCACCCCCATGTCTTTTTAATGCAGTCATGTTGGCTCCTGCATCTACTAGTATTGTGGCAGACGATCTCCTGAAACTGTGTCCTGTATACATTTCGGGGTTGGCAATTTGTTTTCCCATTGCCGAGAATTTGTTAATTCCTATATTTTGGACAGAGTATTTCCCATTTTGATAATTCAAAAAGAGAGACGGCGAGGCAACTGTGGGGGGACGCAAATCAATATATTTTTTAACCATTTCACAAAATTTTCCTGTTACGGTGAACTTTCTAACGACTTTTGTTTTTGTGTTGGGCACAGTAATTAGCATGGATGTATTAAAAACGTCAATATGCTCAATATTCATATTTCTTAATTCATGACAACGACAGGCACCCATTACACCAAGAATTAATGCTACCTGAAACAAAAATCAATGGCAAAATTAGTAAAATGGATTAACAACTTCAATGTTTAAAATTATGGGACTGTCTATTCGTCCGGGCGCTCGGACAAATAGTAGACTAAGCTATATATCCGGGCGTAAAAAATAATTGAAATATCTACTTTCAACCGTTTTTATTTTATTATTTTTCTTTAGTAAAATCAGACAGAACTTTAAATTTCAAAACTAACCGGTGGATCAATATACTCCAACATAAATTTTACCATTGGTAGAATTTTTAATCTTTTTTTTTTAAACAAAACCAACCTGACTTTTTTGGGTGGAACTTGAACTAACCTGTGGAACAATATTCTCGAACAGAAAATATAAATACTTAAAAGAACATAAAAAGTAAAAATAAAATTAAAAAAAACTGCCAAGGCCCGGAATTGAACCTAGGACCTATCGATCTACAGCTCGATGCCCAGTCCAGTGCACCACGCCACACGATACCCGTCTACTTGTGTTACAAGATTAAGAACAACGAATGATGACTCAATGCCCGGATATTTAGCGCAATCTACTATTCATATCCGAGCGCTCGGACAAATAGACAGTCTCTAAAATTGTTATAATTACGTTTATTTATCAATTCCTATCTTTGTTGCAAGATATTTTTTATCATCTGCATTTTCAATGGACATGTTTATTTCATCTGGAGTAAATGTTTTGGACTTTTTCGCCTTATAGCCATCAGATTTGCGTTTTAGAAAAGTTTTTAACTTTCCGTAAGTTGCTATATTTATGTTTTGTCGTACCTCTAGTGTCGTTCGCAACATCGAATATTGAGTCCAGAGGGACGAAGATTTGTATTTTTCTGCTAGCTCTCCAAAGTAGGCTAGTAACACGTTTTCGGAAAACGAGGTAATTTTTTTGCAGTCTCGTCAATCCATAAAAGCTTTATACGCTTTTTCGTAAAGATTTCGCGATTTTTTAGGTAGCAAGTCTACCGATGTTATTTTCGCTGCTTCTACGATATCTGATGGGGTATAATTTTCTTCGTCGCTGTTAATATCGTCCATTTCATCCATTTGTGTTTTGATTAGACAATTTATAGGTTTTTGAGACAAACTTTTACACTTTTTCAGCTTTCGGAGACAGAAGTGTCAAGCGCTGGTCAAGCGTGACAAAATTACAAATGACAACTGACAAGCAGTGTTGTACAAGAATAATACTGTGGTGCCTTTTCCGTTGTCATGGGCAACTAATAAAACTGTTGGCTTATGAAAATTCGTGGCCTGTGATTGGTCAAATACCGTTTGCTTATGATTCATAAGCCAACAGATAAAAATAATGACTACTATTATTTAAAGAAAAAGCGTTAATAATTGACATATTATTCCATAGGCGTAGAAAAAATAACTTGTTTAGCAGACTGTACAATAGCTATCTTAGTCACACGTAGCGCGTTCTCTGTCTGGGCGTCGAACACCTCTAGAAATTTGATAAACTGTAACTTTAACATTTCCAAGATCCGGAACTAGTTAATTTATACCAAAATGGCACTTTTGTTTATACTGTAGGGAAAAAATTGCAAAAGTTCTGCAAACTTTAAGGAATATATCGACGAGTACAAGGCAAAACGACGTAAGAGACATTTTTGTAAATATTTAATGTAATACAAACATGGAAAGGTCTTAGCGCCATCTCTTAGTTAGTATACTCTGCATAACCGACAGAAATTTATTAAAAGAGATATTTTGATATTAATTTGCGCAAACGTAACTTTCAAGACTTGACGCTTGTAGCACAAGCACTAGTTTTTCATTATACATGAACATGAACATCTACAAATTTAGTTTTACTGCCAAAATAAAGGATAGACAAAGGGTAAGTTATGAGTTAGTTTGTTAACTATATAGTAACCGTAGAGTATTAATGATTTTTTAATTTTTATTTTTTTTTATTGAAATTAACGTGTCTCGACGCATCAGGGGCCATTGACACAGGTACAATTATATTATAATATTACAAGAGGTTTTACAAAATATATACACTACCTATAAACAAAAGAAAAAACCTAATTCACAAAATAGGGTACAGGAAAAGTAAAGGGACTAGGAGAGTTCTAGCGCAATCCTTATGTAAATTAACATGGGAAATCGCTAAGGTTCAAAATAGCAATTTTTGTCTCTTTCAAGGTCACTCGTCTTGACGTCACGTGTCATGACGTCACTAGCCAACTGTTGTCAACCTAACTCGTTTGACGTTTTCGTTTGACGTTTTCGTTTGACGTTTTCGTTTGACGTTTTCGTTTGACGTTTTCGTTTGACGTTTTCGTTTGACGTTTTCGTTTGACGTTTCGTTTTACGTTACGTATGACGTTTTGTTTGACGTTTGACGTTTTCTATTGACGTTTCGTTTGCCGTTTGACGTTTCATTTGACGTTTCGTTTGCCGTTTGACGTTTCATTTGACGTTTCGTTTGACGTTTTCGTTTGCCGTTTGACGTTTTCGATACCTTCGATACTGCCCCTTTGGTAGAAAGAAATATTAATTTAAATTTGATTAAATAAATTCACATCTTTTGAAAAATTCACTAGAACATCTAAGGATACTA